CTAACCGTTGCAAAGACCCTTAAACTGTTGTATTCTGCCACTAGGTCCCCAAGTGGTGGTATCCTGAGTGCAACGGTTGTAATTGCTTTACCCCCGTCTGATCGCTCTCCAACGTTGTAGAGCCACTTCCGTTCGGAAGCCCGAGGCTTCCGATTTTCACTCGCCATTTTTTTTTTTAGGTCGGCGATATGCGCTTGGGCAAAGCTTCGCCCTGGCGTTTGTTTAAAAAATAAATAAAAGGTCCTTAGTTTAACTTTTAGAGGAGTCCAGGACCTCAGGGAGGCCAGTTTGGTCTTTAAACTTTAAAGGTAAGTCCTCTCTTCAGGGCATGCTTTTTGGGACGGGGTGTTTTGCGCATGCGCTAAGATCGCCATTCTGTGGATGGCTGCCTATGCGCATGCGCAGACTGAGTTAAAAACAAAAAACAAACCGCCGACGCCCGCTGTGTGTGAACGGGCATACAGCGATGGGCTCCGCAGACAGGAGGTAAGCGTGATCACATTTCAGCCGGCTTAAACTGCACTGGTTCCAACCGGTACAGTTTATGCCGGCTGAAACGCCCCGTCTGAACACACCCTCTGAGTGATATAGCCCCCGCCCCAAACGTCCAGTCATGTTACGTCGCTCACTCCAAGGCTGCATGACAAGCAGATGCTATACCGTTGAGTCATGACCTCTCCCTGGATTCTAGGATGGGATTTCCTCACACTTACCTCTGAGGTTGCTGGTAGACACTCGGGCTCTTGCTGAAAAGGAGAGAAAAGACAGAAGGTGGGTGGGTGGGTGGAGGGAGGCAGCCGTGCCTGCCTTCCCCTCCCACTATCTCTTTCAGAGCAGATGAACCTGGTTCCTTCAGCCGCAGGCTGAGTGTGCCCCCAACACAGAGAGACACAAGAATTGTAAACATTAACCTTTTCTGGACAGTCTCTAAACACGTCGTTAGCAGATAATTTTTCAGCCTGCTCTACTGAGTCTTGGTTTGGGCAAAGGGGGCCCCTGGGCAAGAAGCGTAAACAAACCAGGGACAGAGCCGGCCGAACAAATAAATTGGCTGGGAAAATCAGACCTGCCAAGGCAGATCTGAGAATCCAGACCGGGCATCTCCCTTCCAGTGAGACTGTGAAGGACCTTCAGTATTTCATCGGTGCCATGGGGTGTCTCTCCCCATATACCCCCCCCCGAGAGCCTTGTGCTCTGCTGAGCAACATCTGCTGGTTATCCCTGGCCCGAAGGATGTCCGTCTAGCCTCAACCAGGGCCAGGGCCTTCTCAGTCCTGGCCCCCAACTGGTGGAACAAGCTCCCACTTGAGATCGGGGTCCTGCGGGACCTACCACAGTCCTGCAGGGCCTGCAAAACAGAGCTGTTCCGCCAGACCTCTGGTTGAGGTGATGGACAGCCAATCACATGGGCTCCCCCTGGCAAAGCAGCCCTGCTAAGTGGTCCTAGTGAAAACGGCGATGATTGTCATCTGTCCAGCTGATGGAGCCTACGGAAAAATTGTCGCCATTTTAGTTAATTTTAATACATTTAAATTTGTTGGTTATACTCTACGTGGAATTTTGTTGATTACACTGTAAATGAAATTATGATGTTACTGTCAGGAACTTTAGGCAGGCGGCACCACACACTCAGGCTTCTTCTGAAGATAAGTGTTTATCTGGTCATTCCAGTACTAAAGTAACGTGTATACAGCTTGTGTTAGGAATGGCCTGCAATATGATGGCTGCTGACATAGGATATTCAAACAGCCCCCCCACCTTGCAAAAGGCCAATAGTTAGACTCTGCACGCATGGGCAAAGCTAGCTAGCAAGCATTTTTAGCACCTAAACTGTTACATTTCCCAGGCCTGGTGATTTACAGACAGAATACCCACCAAGGTCATTTCTACAGATAGCCAGCTGCACGAGAAAGGGAAGAGCCGAGAAGACAGAGGAGATAACCCACTCCACATTCCAACTCTATGACAGGGCTACCTGACAGTTACCCGCCCTGAGCCCGCACGCAGGAATGGGTGGTATACAAATACAATACATACAATAAATACAATAAATAGGTGGTTTGCCATTGCCTGCCTCAGTGACCTGCTTAGCTTCCAAGATCTGATGTGATCAGGCCAGCCTGGCATTCAGAACCTAAAAAGGTTAGTCAAGAATAGTAGAGGGCCAACTCTAAAAATCTAATTATGAAACATACAAAAATATACATGTATTTATTAAACACAAATTAAAATAACAAATAAGGGCCCATTCATACCTTTAAGGACTGTATAATCCTGAATCTACTATATAGGTCCAACACTTTTTTGAGCAACACTGCTTTTAACTTAAGGAATATTTCATTGGGAACATTTGGCTATACAATCTCAGGAGAATATATAGTTGACCAGAGAGAAGTACTAGTGGACATGTGATTGCACTGGAGGTTTCATTTGTATTTTTGCCCAGTGGTTAAACTTTGGAACAATTGTTTTCTGGTCTTTATTTCATATTTTGTATATGTTTGATTGTATGTATTTTTACATATTAGCCAATATTTTCTATTTCCATTAGACCTCTGAGGAAGGCCTGTGGAGGCCGAAACGTGTTAGGTCTATTTCCTCAGCCTTTGTATTTTTATATTTGTATATGAGGTATGAATGGGCCCTTATTTGTTATTTTAATTTGTGTTTAATAAATACATGTATATTTTTGTATGTTTCATAATTAGATTTTTAGAGTTGGCCCTCTTCTATTCTTGACTAACCTTTTTAGGTTCTGAATTCTAGGTTTTAGGTTCAGTTTTTTTTCCCCTTTCCCCTTTTTTGTCCTATCAGGTCAGCCTGGGCCATTCATGTCAGGGCAACAGAGCATTACTTAACCACAACAGGTGCAGATCCCGTCTCGAAAAACAGAGAGTGGTCTCAATGACTCTTCCAGTTGATGTCCATAATGTGGTTTATTTGGGTTTTTAAAAAAAATTAAATTTATATACCACCCTCTGCCCAATTTGGGGCTCAGGCTGGCTAACAATTTATAAATAAAATCACAATACATACTGTAGATACAGATAAATAATTAAAAAAAACACACAATAAAAACAAAATTTAAAAAAAAACAATAAAAATAACAATAATCAAACTAATCAGAAGGTGCTAAATATTTCATTTCCACCCAGGCTAATGGCATGCCCAGTTTACTTACTGATGTACCAAAGGATCCCGGCCAGAAGAAGGAGAGCAGCCACGGCTCCCAAGACACCCCCCACAATGGGCCATGCTGAGTCTGAAAGGCAAAAAGAGTGAAGTGACCAATGTGAATCCCAAACAATTCCATCTAGGTATGCCAGCCTCCAGGTGAGGGCTGGAGTTCTCCTGGAGTTACAACTGATCTCCAGACTATGGAGATCAGTTCCCCCTGGAGAAAACAGCTACTTTGGCAGGTGGACTCTGTGATGTCACATCCCCACCGTGGTCCCTCCCCCCTCCAAATCTCACCCTTCTTAGGCTCCACCCCCAAATCCCCAGGAATTTCCCAGCCTGTAGTTGGCAACCCTAAATTCAGCCAATTGTGGGAGGGAATGAGAGAGAGTCTGTATGCATACGAGTCTCTCTCTTTTCACAAAGAGAAGCTCTAAAACAAAGTGTTCCCCCCCTCCCTTGTGAAATTGCCAAGGGAACAAAGCGGGGCCTTTTTGGTAGTGACTCTCGTGTTTTCTTCTCAAAGACGCTCACCAGAACCCAGCATTACAGACCTTTAGGAAAACTTACAAAATCTCATCTTTAAAAGGCCTGCACTTGTTAATGTGTAGCCCATTTGAGACAACGCTAGCCCATTTTAGACCAATGCATCCGATTTTTGGAAGGTTTGCTTTTGGAAGATTTGGGGGCACAATCCAGCCTGAAAACTGCCTCCCCTTCAGCACTCTCCCTTCAGGCTGGCAGGGGGGAAATGGCAGGAAACAGGGGGGACATGGACATTGGCAACATCCTGAGGTACTGATGTCACTCTTTGTGCACCTAAGATTGACATCAGCATGTTGTTGGGTGACGCTGGGGACGTTCTGGCATTAGGGCAAAATTCTGTGATTAAACCACAGAGTTTCACCCAAATGCCAGAGCGTCCCCAGTGACGTGCTGACCTCACTTCCGGGAGCACAGGCGTTATGATAGCGCGTTCCTGGCAATGTCATTAGATTGAGAAGAAGAGAGTGGAGTCTCAGAGCGGCTTACAATCTCCTTTCCCTTCCCCCTCCCCACAACAGACACCCTGTGAGGTAGGTGGGGCTGAGAGAGCTCTCTCGAGAACAGCCCTTGAGAAAAGTGCTCTGACAGAACTTGTGACTGACCCAATGTCACACCAGCAGCTGCATAGGGAGGGGTTCTCCCAGATGAGAGTCCACGCTCCTAACCACTACACCAACCCAGCAAGGTTGGTTTCCCAGCAAGGTAAGCCTGGGGAGGACCTAGAACCCTGCCCTGCGGTCTCTCACCGGGCTGCTTTAGGGCAATGTGTTCCACGTGGCATTGGTAGCGGTCCCTGTCCTGCGGGTTGATCTGGATGCTGAGCCAGGTGTAGAAGGTCCCATCCGAGTTCGGGACGACACCCCCGCGGAGGGTCTCCTGCTCCCAAGCCACCCCATCCTTCCGCCAGGTGGCCTCGATTTGCTTGGGGTAGAAGCCGTAGACCCGGCAGACGAGCGTCTCCAGGCTGCCAGTGCTCTCCCGGTGCGTCACTTTCACCATTGGGGGCTCTGCAAAAATGGGAGAAATTTCTTAAGACAGATCCAGGTGGGTAGCCGTGTTGGTCTGAGGCAGTAGAACAAAGTTAGAGGCCAGTGGCATCTTTAAGACCAAGAAAGTTTTAATATGTTGTCGAAGGCTTTCGCGGCCGGAGTTCATTAGCTGTTGTTGATTTTCCGGGCTGTATGGCCGTGATCTTGGCATTGTAGTCCCTGACGTTTTGCCAGCAGCTGTGACTGGCATCCTCAGAGGTATAACACAGAAAGATGGAGAACTCTCTGTGTCAAGGTGAGAAGAAAAATGGTAGGCGGGTAATTTATATCTACTCAGGAAGGTGGGGGTAGGGCTGAGTCATTCTCTTGTAGGAGTTCCCCAGGCTGTGACATGCTAATGGAGGAGCTTTCCTGAGGAGGTGCTTTCGCATATGGATTGGCTGTTGAAATTCTAATCTTATCTGTAGTGCTGTTATAAAATGTAGGGCATTTTGTGTTTTTCAGGACAGGAAACCATGCCCTATTTATTTTTAAACTCTCTTCTTTCCTGTTGAAATTGTGTTTATGCGAGCACTCCATATAAGGAGAACATCTATAAGATGTTCTACAGATGGCATTGGACACCGGAGAAATTAGCAAAATGTTACACAACCTCCAATAAGAATTGTTGGAAATGTAAAAAAAATGTGGGCACATATATGCACATGTGGTGTAAATGCGAGAAAGTCCAAAAATATTGGAAAAAATATATAGAATGATAAATGAAATAACAGAAATGCAAGTACCATTTCTGCCAGAAATAGCTTTATTGAACATGCTTCCAGAAGCATATAGCAAAACAAACAAGTATGTAATCATATTTCTTTTTACAACTGCTAGAATATTGTTAGCCAAAACATGGAAAGAAGAAGAAATGCCCTCAAAGAAAAACATAATAGATAAAATGTTGTCAGTAGTGGAAATGGACAAATTAAGATTAACAATACAAGGTAATAGCAAGGAGACATTTGATAAACGATGGAAAATGTTTTATGTATGGTTAGATAAGATGAATAACTTTGACTCACAAGAATAAGAAATGTAAACCGATGATGTGATGTATACTGAAAATTTTAAATAAACAGTTAAAAAAAAAGGAATTGTATTTATGTTTATGAATTTCAATGGCTTCCCTGTGTAATCTGACACGGTAATTGGATGTGTTGTCCAGCCTTTTAGTGTTTTACCCTCCTGCCATGTAAGAACATAAGAACATAAGAACATAAGAGAAGCCAATGTGGGATCAGGCCAATGGCCCATCCAGTCCAACACTCTGTCACACAGTGGCCAAAAATACAAGGTGCCATCAGGAGGTCCAGCAGTGGGGCCAGGACACTAGAAGCCCTCCCACTGTTGCCCCCCCCCAAGCACCAAGGATACAGAGCATCACTCGCCCCAGACCAAGTCCCTATCTATACCTGGTGGCTAATAGCCAGTGATGGACCTCTGCTTCATATGCTTATTCAGTTCCCTCTTGAAGCCGTCCATGCTTGTAGCCGCCATCACCTCCGGTGGCGGTGAATTCCACGTGTTGATCACTCTTTGGGTGAAGAAGTACTTCCTTTTATCCGTTCTAACCCGACCGCTCAGCAATTTCATTGAGTGCCCACGAGTTCTTGTATTGTGGTCTCTATTGGGATATTTGGTTAATATAGCAAAGTTTTGTTGGTCTGAAAGGTGCCGCTGAACTCTAGCTTTGTTCTTGAGACAGCACCTCCCTTGGCTGGCAGGATGGGGGCTGTGCTGGAAAGGCAGGGAGTTGTGTGTGTGTGTGTGTGTGTGTGAAGTGCCATCAAGCCGTGCCTGACCCATGGCGACCCTATACATACATACATACATATTAGATTTCTATACCGCTCCTTTCCGTAGACTCGGAGCGGTTTACATGGTTCATACAATTGTCTAACCTAGGAGCACACAGACAGGGGAGGTGAATTCCTTACCCGGGCACCCCCTTTTTAAGGTAGGATCTTCTTCTTAGCTTCTTTTTCCTTAGCTTCTTTTTCCATGGCGGATTCTTGTTGGTACTGGTGATGTTACTGACCCTATGAACGCATCCCCTCCAAAACGTCCAATTATTAACAGCCTTGCTCAGGTCTTGCAAACTGTTAGAGGTATCGATTTCATCTTATAAATTTCAGGCCTTTTCACGCCTGATTACCTCGAAACAAGAATTGTTCTGTGTCTGTCTTGACCTGAGTCATAACGATAGGGCAGAAACCCCAGAGATTTTGGAATGTTTGCCTAAGAGCCTGGGCAGGATTCCAGGGTGCCGGGACAGCTTTATTGGGGTCAGAAGACAGGGAACAACTGGAAACAGTTGAGGCAAAAAGGGGCCGGCAAGTATTGGTGGGGGCAGTGAGAAAGTAATCTGATGTTAAATAAATAACGTCAGGTAGGGATTTGGGGGTGGGGGATGGAAGACATAAGGCATCACCTTTTACGGGCCTATAAACTCTTACCCTCCTGCCATGTGGTCTCTATTGGGATTTTTGGTTGATATAGCAAAGGTTTGCCCAGTCGTAGAAGTGTGACAAATAAATCTCCCAAGAAACATACTGCAAAAAAGGTAAACTTACATCTATTCAAGTGGACCCAGTTCACATTCAGGTTGCAGTTGAAAGCAGAGACAGAAGCCTAACCTAAAGAGTACTTTTCCCCATCACAAATTGGGCATCATGTGTATGTGGAGAGACCCGCAGAGACTTGGGTCTCCATGAAAGGCCATGTGAGGATAGGGAGAGGACAAAGGGAGAGGGAGAGAACAGAGGGTAGCTCCCAGGTAAAGACAAAGAGAAGCATCCCATTGTAGAAGAGAACACTTATACAACACTTAGACCGATTTCACACAAGAGCTCCGCTGTGGTCACGCCTCCCTTGGCCACCCTTCTATGGGTCAATTGCCCACAAGAAGCCACACGGCCGCATTTTGACCCACGGCTTCGCCCGATTTCCCCCGCGGTTCCGTTATCCTGTTTGTTGAGGATCACAAAACCGCAGGGAAAATCAGGCGAAGCTGCGGGTCAAAATGTGGCCATGTGGCTTCGAGTGGGAAATTGACTAATAGAAGCAGGGCAAAGGGAGGCGCGACCACAGCGGAGCTCTTGTGTGAAATCGGTCTTAGAGTGGCATGGCCGCCCCCCTCCCCGCAGTGTCCAGGCATACTGAGTCACTCTCTCCGAGACTGCACAGCAAGCATATGCTGTGCCATCCAATTGCTACTTACTTATGGTGATCATAGCACCATGGTGATTTCAAGTCAGAAGGTGAGCAAAGGTAGTTTTGGACCTCCTGGTGGCACCTGGTATTTCTGGCCACTGTGTGACACAGGGTGTTGGACTGGATGGGCCTTTGGCCTGATCCAACATTGGCATCTCTTATGTTCTTATGTTTCTTGGTGGTCTCCCATCCAAGTACTTGGTAAGAGGAGGAGGAGGAAGAAGAGGAAGAAGAGGAGGAGGAGATTGGGTTTATACCCCCGCCCTTCACCACCCAAAGGTCTCTCAGAGCAGCTTACAAACTCCTTCCCCTTCCCCTCCCCACAACAGACACCATGTGAGGTAGGTGGGGCTGAGAGAGCTCTTGGCAGAAACTGCTCTTTTTCGAGAACAGCTCTTATCAGAGCTACGGCTTGCCCAAGGTCATCCAGCCAGGTGCAAGTGGAGGAGTGGGGGAATCAAACCCGGTTCTCCCAGATTAGAGTCCGCACACTTTACCACGACACCAAACTGTACCTACGTGATTACATTATGCAAGATGTGCTTCTATTTTTCAAAGTAAAATTTCTTTCTCCCGTTATCACTGGAGTCAGACCATCTTTATAATTTGTCTGGACAACATTTCCTCTTAACCAGGAAATGTGGAGGGTTGGGGATACTGCTTAAAGCTTCTGTGCTTCCAAGGCGATTTTTTTAAAAAAAACATCTAACCTAGTAGGAAGAGCCGGCATTTTCTCCCCTCACCTTTCCTCTGCTGGGCTTTTCTCCTATAGCCCAGGTATTCCTTCAGCTCTTCTATGCAGTCCTCGTGCCGGAAGTATTTCCAGTGGCCCGTCTCCTCGTGGGCCCTTCTGTCGATGTCCCTCCCGTCGTAGGCTTCCCAGTGATAATACCTTCTTTTGGTCTGGTCTTCACTCAGCTCACAGCCCTGGATACACTGGAAGGTGTGAAACCCTGGGAAAGGAGGAGGAGGAGTCTGCAGAGGGTGGCCACGGATGGAACTGAAGAATATAGGGCAGCCCGCCCCCAATCCCAGCCCCCCACTCACACAAAAGGCCAGTCTATGCTAAGGCCGGTCCAGGCTGATATAATTTTTTTTTACAGAAATGTATTCTAGTGGCACCTTTAAGACCAACAAAGTTTAATTCTGGGCATACGTTTTTGTGTGCATGCAGAAATTTTTTAAAGACCAACAAAATTTTATTCGAGTTGTGGCAGAACAAAATTTTATTCGCGTTGTGGCAGAATGCAGGCCAGAGCAGGCCCTGTTCCACCCTGCCCTCCAAGGTTTTCCCAACACCTGGAGAGGCTTTTCTTTCTTGGATAACCACTGCCACCACCTGACCTTTGAAAGGAGTTGCCTGCTGGGACTCCCGGCTTCCCTTCCCAGTTCTGAGGCCTTGCCTCTGTGTCTCCCACTGCCCAGCACCTGGTCGCCACAGGGACCGTTTACTGCCTTGTGTGCCCCTGGAGGAATAGCTGCTTGCCAACTGCCTGCCTTCCCCACCCCCCGTGGTGTGTCCGAGATGGTGGAGGTCTGTGTGGTACAGAGAACCACTACCAGCATCAAAAGTTATAAAGTATTCATTAAGAAAATATCATTTTTTTAAAAGGCGTGTGCTCCTTTAAGCAGAGTGGGGTGCTGTAGCTGACTAATTTAGCACTGAGCAAGGGGGTTGGAGTAAGTGACCTCTAGGACCCCTTCTAACTCTGCGTCATGAAACTGGCCTCCTTTAAGAGTTTTTCTGCCTTTACAGAAGTCATCTCCCCCACCTGCCGGCTGGTTATCAGAATTGTTGCTTAGGCTGGCAGAAGTGATTAACTTGCAGCAGCTGAGAACTGTCCTCTAAACTGGTCGACAGCTTGCAATTTAGAGCTCTCTCCTGGTCACAGCTTTCTATTGGCTGAATGGCTTTTCTTTCTGCACTGAGAACTTCAGCCCCACCAGGAAAAAAATTGCCCCACAAGCCATGGAGCCTGGAGGGAATGGGTCCAAAGAGCGTGCTCCCCGTTTTAACTCACCCCCGGTCTGGTTGTAGTGATTCTGCAGAATCAAGAGGTAATCTCGGAGCCACCTCTCGTTGACGTGCACCAGGTCGGTCTGTTCGTTCCAGTACTGCTCGTTCAGATTCGCCTCCATCCAGGGTGCCCGAGGGACGACCCTTCTCGTGTGGCTGTCAAAGTACTCGATGGGCTGGCCATCCAAATAGCCTGCTTCTATGAAACGGGGCAACCCCTGGCCAAACTTGGTCACGACTGTGCGGAAATAGAAGAGAGAGTGTGCAGTGGAACCTGCAAGGGAAGAGAGGGGGAGGAGTTAGGAAGCCCGGAGCCCAGACAGGGTTGCCGGCTCTGGGTTGGGAAATACCTGGAGATTTCTGGGGGTGGAGCCTGGAGAGGGCGGGGTTTGGGGAAGGGGAGGGACCTCACTGGAGTGTAATGCCACATAGAGCCCACCCTCCAAAACAGCCATTTTCTCCAGGTGAACTGATTTCTGTGGCTTGGAGAGCAGTTGTAACCAATGCTCCCTCTAAGCTGTGGAGTCTTGTGAGCAAAAATTCTACTTTGTGAGCTCCACTGGCATTAAAATTGTGAGCGAGCCTTTAGGCTACTGCATAAATTAGTTTACTCTGGAACCCTCCCTTCCTGAGTGAAGATAAAAATGTGTGAGCTGGAGGCTAAAAAACTACGAGCTAGCTCACACTAACTCGGCTTAGAGGGAACACTGGTTGTAATTCTGGAAAGAGCTCTCTCAGGGTGTGTCTGTTGTGGGAAGGGGAAGGAAAAGGAGATTGTCAGCCGCTCTAAGACTCCTTCGGGTAGTGAAGGGCGGGGTATAAATCCAATCTCCTCTTCTTCTTCAAAATGTTTCAAGTTACAGAAATGGATGGCTTCTTTAAAAAAGAGTAATGAATTTACACCTAATGTAAGGGCTCCAAAGCCTTTATAACATACAAGGGCAAGGGCAGAATTCCCGTTGTAGTTTCTGCCTGGGATGGTCTCTCTTTACCACTGAGGCACAGCCCCTAAACGGCTCTTCTTGCTTCACACAAATGGGATTTTTTAAGTCACACTCAAGGGTGCGTGTGAACTACATACTTTCGGGAGAGAGCACACGGCGGAAGCAAATTCCCTGCGTATCTGACGGAGAGAACTACGCTCTCCCCAGCCACGTTCTCCAGATCTCCAGCAAAGTCCCAAGCTGGAGTTGGCAATCTTCTCTCTCTAAAGTGCGTTCATGTTTTAAGGGTAGAATGCTTCCCTGGTGCAGAAATCCGAAGGCCTTTCCAAAGCGCAGGGTCGCCATATGGATCGCCAGCCCCCCCCCCCCAGGCCCCATTCGGACCGCCAGCCCCCCCCCCCCCCCGCTGGAGGCGGGGATCCCCTGCAACCTGGCCCCGCTCCCTGCTGCTGATCAGCTGGCTGGCAGGAAAATTTACCAAGAGAAAGCGGAAGGCCCAGGCCACGTTGCCAACGTCGCATAGGAAGTGACATCCTCACACCAGTGACGTTTGGGCGACGCTCTGGTGTTTGGGCAAAACCTCTATGGTAGAAGCCATTTATACCATAGAGCTTCTGCCCAAATACCAGAGTGCCACAGCAACGTGGTGTCACTTCCTGTGTGATGCCAGCGGAAGGCCCAGGCCACGTTGCCAACATCACATAGGAAGTGACATCCTCACACCAGCAATGTTTGGGCGACGCTCTGGTGTTTGGACAAAACCTTTATGGTAGAAGCCATTTTTACCATAGAGCTTCTGCCCAAATACCAGAGTGTCACAGCAACGTGGTGTCACTTCCTGTGTGATGCCAGCAATGTGGCTTGGGCCTTCCTCTTTTTCCTGGTAAGTTGCCCCCATTCCTCACTGGTTGACAGGAGGGACCTGGTAACTGTAATATCCATATCCACACTGGGATATTCCAAGAGACTGGGAGTCTGAACTTGGGGAGAGACCTCCGTGGGGCACAATGCCATAGAGTCCACCCTCCAAAGCAGCCAATTCCTCTAGGGAACTGATTTATTTATTTGATTTTTACTCCACCTTCCCTGCCAAGTCAGGCTCAGGGCAGCTTACACAAGAAACAATGTAAATATCAATGTAAAATACACAAAAGTTATTAAAATCAAGAAGAAGAAGAAGAAGAAGAGGAGGAGGAGGAGGAGGAGGAGATTGGATTTATACCCTGCCCTTCACTTGGAGTCTCAGAGCGGCTGACAAACTCCTTTCCCTCCCCACAACAGACACCCTGTGAGGTAGGTGGGGCTGAGAGAATTCTGACACAAACTGCTCTTTTTCAAGGACAGCTGTGTCAGGGCTTGTGACTGACCCAAGGTCACATCAGCAGGTGCAAGTGGAGGAGTGGGGAATCAAACCCAGTTCTCCCAGATTAGAGTCCGCGCACTTGTTATACAAACAGATTCCCAGTAAAATGAAGTCAAAATGAGGAGGAAGTGTTTCAATTGCAATCAAGACACCTGAAAACAGTTGGAATGACATTATCATGAAAATAACATTTAAAAAGAAGAGAAGAAGAAGAGATTGGATTTATACCCTGCCCTTCACTTGGAATCTCAGAGCGGCTGACAAACTCCTTTCCCTTCCCCTCCCCACAACAGACACCCTGTGAGGTGGGTGGGGCTGAGAGAGCTCTGACACAAACTGCTCTTTTTCAAGGACAGCTGTGCCAGAGCTTGTGACTGACCCAAGGTCACATCAGCAGGTGCAAGTGGAGGAGTGGGGGAATCCAACCCGGTTCTCCCAGATTAGAGTCTGCACACTTAACCACTACACCAAATTTACAGAATGATAGCGGTATAGCTACAATAAAGTGCATTTATCGATCCAGCATTATCGGTGGGCTCAGGCTGCAAACAGATTGGCACGGGGCATAGATGATGACACAGCTCCTTACCTAAATGCCTGGCGAAAGAGCTCCGTTTTCGTGGCCCTGCAGAACTGTGAAAGGTCCCACAGGG